TTGGTCCATCTCAGGTTGAGGCTCTGAGAGCAGGACCTGATTGGACAGAAATAGAAGGAGGAGACTCAGAGCAGACTTAAAGCAGCAGAAAGTGAAACTATTCTTTATATAAAACATCAAGACATCAGCAGCTCACCGTCCTGTCAAAGACAAACATGGCCAGCAGAATATATTATTCTAACCGTAAGTGTTTTTGTAACTTTCACTTGTATAAAAACTCAGCACAGGTTTGGACAAGTAGGTTAAACTTTTATTTTTTGTCTTGTATGAGGCCAACTGTAACACCATGTCCAAAGTCAGAAATATTAACATTATTTATATATAAAGAAAGATTATTCATTAGTCTGCACAATCCCATCGTTAAAGTTTTACTTTTACTAAAAATGTGTACTTTCCTCCCTCTGTGCAAGTTTTTCAGAGTCTAATATTCCGTTTCAAATTCATGCAAAACTGGAAAAACATAATGAAACCATAGTCTGTCAAACAGGCTCAAACCAGATCAAACGGAGGTCTTTTGTAGGGACGAACTGAAATGCAGATAAACTGTACCACGGTCCCTTTCGGTGGACCTGTCTTTGGAACTCGTGGTGGGGTGTTTGGTTTACATATTTCCTTAATTATCCGTTTCTGAGCTAAACTGGTCTATAAAGTGTTTTATTACAGCTTATTACAGGTCTAACCACCAGATGATAAAAACAGGAATAAGATTAAACATATTTCTGAGCGGCAGCTTTAGAGAAAAAGAACTCAGAATCTGTTTGCCACTAAACTGACATGAATGTATTTGTATTGTAAACCAAGGAGTGTTTTAAAGAATGTGAACGGACACGTCTAACCAGCTCTGCTCTCTGACATCACCAGCATTGTTTTCTGTCCAAACTAAACAGGAATGATGTGACTCTGTTCTTGTGTTCATAATCTGACTTCCAGTGAAATCAGTCGTCATTATTTAAACTGGATAAGAAAAATTAGGCTAGACAGCATTAAGCATTTCTGTCTATAAATGTTAATCTGATACACAGAGAGGGGTATGATTGTTACTGCATGTCTGGGGAAAACCCATTTCTGCTTTTGCACTGTACTTTTTTGTACCTGGTCCCTGTTAAAGATCAGAGGAGCTTTAATTCATCAATTTCATTATTAGTTTTCCTTCAGTAAATGTTTTCTTGCAATTCTCTTACAGAACCAAAGGAACAAGAACTCAGGATGGTTCTTTTTGGAAAAACTGGAACTGGAAAGAGTTCATCAGGAAACACCATCCTAGGAGAGAAATGGTTTACATCAAGGCTTTCTTTTATAGGAGTGACGGCAAAGTGTCAGAAGGGAACTCGAGTGTTTGATGGTAAAATACTGGATGTAATTGATACTCCAGGGCTGTTCAATCCCCAAAGAGAAGATAAAGAGCTGGTGGAAGAGATAGCTAAGTGTATTTGTTTTGCGGCTCCTGGTCCTCATGCGTTCCTGGTTGTGATCCAACCGACCAGGTTCACAAAAGATGAACAAGAAACAGTGAAAATCATCCAGAAAATGTTTGGAAAAGAAGCAGCACGTTACACAATGGTGTTGTTCACCCATGGAGACGCCCTGAAGGAGGACGGCGTCTCCATAGAAGAAATAATAGGTCAGAATAAAGATCTGGATAAGTTTGTTGATCAGTGCCGTGGAGGTTATCAAGTGTTTGACAATAAGGATCCCGATGAGTCTCAGATCCACGAGCTGCTGGAAAAGATCAACAGAATGGTTCAGAGGAACAGAGGAAGATTCTACACCAACGAGATGTTCAAAGAAGCTGAGGAAGCAAAGAGAGAAGAACAACGACTTCTGAGAGAAAACCCAGATATAGATCGTGAAGAAGCAAGAAGACTAGCAGAGAAGGACAACCCATTCATTAGAGATGATCTGAGAGCTGCTGGATGCCTTGTTGGAGGTCAGTTGGAGCTTCTATTGTTAAAGTTTTTAGTTTTATTCCAGCTGCTGTGGAAACAAAAGCACATAATATATTAACTCATCTGTTCAGATCAAATCAGTCTAACGTCAAACCACCAAAATGTAAAAACAGGAGGCCAGATGAAACATATTTCTGAGCTTCATCTATTGGAGAAAGGGAGTTATCTCAGAATATGTTTGCCACAAAACTGATATGAATGTTTTCCTTCTTTGAGCATGTATGGTATGTTTTGGAGAAACCTGGAGCTGCTTTAATTCTGCTCTGAGTCTCCTCTTTCTAAGTCTCTCTAAGCCACATCCGGGTTTTGTTTCAGAGTCGTCACCAAAACAAGTGACAGATTTGACTGAGTTTGAGTCTGAGCAGCAGTCATTATTTAAACAGAATAAGCAACATTAGGCTAGAGGGCATTAAGCATTTCTGTTTATAAATGTTAATCTGATACACAGAGAGGGGTATGATTGTTACACTGGAGGCATGTTACAGATAAAGCCCTGATTTCTGTTTCTGGGAGCAAACATCAGGGGAAAAGTCCCCACAAAGTCCTCTCTCATTAAAGCGATTACAGAGTGGTTTCACTAACATCAGATGGCTAAAAGAGTTTGATAAATATCTCTGAATCGTATAAATTTCTCAGCTTTGTGTTGTTAAAGCTGCACTCAGGTTCACTTTGTAAAGACCAGCATGATTTGACTCTATGTTCCACAATAAAATAGTCTTTTGTGTTTCTGGTTCCTGTTCAGGCTCAGAGGAGCTTTCATACATCTCCTCTATAATTGAAGTTTTCCTTCAGTAAATGTTTTCTTGCAATTCTCTTACAGAACCAAAGGAACCAGAACTCAGGATGGTTCTTTTTGGAAAAACTGGAGCTGGAAAAAGTGCAGCAGGAAACACCATCCTAGGGAAGAAATGTTTTAGATCAAAGATTTCCTCTAGAGGAGTGACGGAAAATTGTCAGAAGGGAACTCAAGTCTTTGATGGTAAAATCCTGGATGTTATTGATACTCCAGGGCTGTTTGACCCCATTAGGAGCAATGAGGAGCTGGTGATAGAGATAGCTGAGTGTATTTCTCTTGCGACTCCTGGTCCTCATGCGTTCCTGGTTGTGATCCAACCGACAGGGTTCACAAAAGATGAAGAAGAAATATTCAAAATCATCCAGAAAATGTTTGGAGAAAAAGCAGCACGTTACACAATGGTGTTGTTCACCCATGGAGACGCCCTGAAGGAGGACGGCATCTCCATAGAAGAAATAATAGGTCAGAATGAAGATCTGGATGAGTTTGTCCATCAGTGCCGTGGAGGTTATCACGTGTTTGACAATAAGGATTCTGATGAGTCTCAGGTCCACGAGCTGCTGGATAAGATCAACAGAATGGTTCAGAGGAACGGAGGAAGATTCTACACCAACGAGATGTTCAAAGCGGCTCAGGAGGCAAAGAGAGAAGAAAAGCAACGACTTGGGAGAGAAAACCCAGATATAGATCGTGAAGAAGCAAGAAGACTAGCAGAGAAGGACAACCCATTCATTAGAGATGATCTGAGAGCTGCTGGATGCCTTGTTGGAGGTCAGTTGGAGCTTCTGTTGTTAAAGCTTTTAGTTTTATTCCAGCTGCTGTGGAAACAAAAGCACATCATATATTAACTCATCTGTTCAGATAAAATCAGTCTAACGTCAAACCACAGTAAAAACATGAGTCAGATGAAACATATTTCTGAGCTTCATCTATTGGAGAAAGGGAGTTATCTCAGAATCTGTTTGCTCCATAACTGATATGAATGTTTTCCCTCTTTGAGCAGGTATGTTATGTTTTGGAGGAACCTGGAGCTGCTTTAATTCTGCTCTGAGTCTCCTCTTTCTAAGTCTCTCTAAACCACATCTGGGTTTTGTTTCAAAGAGCTGCCACCAAAACAAGTGACAGATTTGACTGAGTTTGAGTCTGAGCAGCAGTCCTTATTAAAACAGAATAAGCAACATTAGGCTAGAAGGCATTAAGCATTTCTGTTTATAAATCTTAATCTGATACACAGAGAGGGGTATGATTGTTACACTGGAGGCATGTTACAGATAAACTCCTGATTTCTGTTTCTGGGAGCAAACATCAGGGTAGAAAAGTCCCCACAAAGTCCTCTCTCATAACAGCGATTGCAGGCTGAGACAGTTCAGAGTGGTTTCACTAACATGAGGTGGCTAAGAGAATTTGATCAATATCTCTGAATTGTATGAAAAAAGGGAGCAAAAAATCAGATCTTTGCAAAAGTTACATTATGATTCTAAAAGAAATCCCTTAGTACATGTCTGGTTCCTGTTCAGGCTCAGAGGAGCTTTCACACATCACCTATATTATTAAAGTTTTCCTTCAGTTAATGTTTTCCTCCAATTCTCCAACAGAACCAAAGGAACAAGAACTCAGGATGGTTCTTCTTGGAAAAACTGGAACTGGAAAGAGTTCAACAGGAAACACCATCTTAGGGGAGAAACGGTTTAGATCAAAGATTTCTGCTAGAGGAGTGACAGAAAAGTGTCAGAAGGGAACTCGAATGTTTGATGGGAAAATCCTGGATGTTATTGATACTCCAGGGCTGTTCAATCCCCAAAGAGAAGATAAGGAGCTGGTGAAAGAGATAGCTAAGTGTATTTCTTATGCGGCTCCTGGTCCTCATGTGATCCTGGTTGTGATCCATCCAACCAGGTTCACAAAAGAAGAAAAAGAAACAGTGAAAATCATCCAGAAAATGTTTGGAGAAGAAGCAGCACGTAACACAATGGTGTTGTTCACCCATGGAGACGCCCTGAAGG